TTTTTGGTGACTATTGCAAAGTATTCTATAAATTATGTGTCCTGTATTCAATTATTTTCCTGGCAACACCTGACTACAACAGAAAGCATGCATGTTATTCGTGCATTGTTTCTGTACTCTACTTGGTCATTCACCAATCTGGAGTTCATCTGTTTACATAGGCATTTACCTCTTGTCCAAAGGTGCACACTTGCATATAATTTACATTATCACTTATTTTTTAAGTATTAATGTCAATATTTATTGTTAATTATATATTATTTTATAATTCAGTAGTCCATCCAATGTTGTAAAGGCCACGCAAAGGTGTCTGACAATCTTAACTGGGGCTTATTTTGGGGGTAGGGTTTATGTTACAAGCATCCTGAGAAAATCATGCATGGGCTTATTTTCAGTTAGGTCTTATTTTCAGGGAAATATAGTATTGAGACCCTGTCCCAAAACACAAAACAAAACGCAAAACAAAGAAACGTTTATGCTATACAATTACAAAATTACCTTGTGGTACTCCTTTAAGAGTAATTTCAGGAAATTTATTGTGCACCATTTAGCTGAGTTTTTTTTTTTGTTTGTTTGTTTTGTTTTTTGTTTTGTCTTTTTCTTTTTTATCGGAACCGGGGATTGAAGATTGAACTCACGACTGCCTGCTTGCAAGGCAGGTGCTTATGCCACTGAGCTAAACCCTCAGCCCTTAGCTGAGTATTGTATGAGTGTTTTAATTTTTTCTCATAACAGCACTAATATCTAATAATTGTTTCACAGGGAAAAAGTTCTGTGAGGTTAACTGTTTAAAACTGCTGGGAACTGAACATGCATTTGTCTAGTCATCTATAAAAGACACATTTAAAACCGTAAAGCCAGCAGGGATTGGTGGTACACCCTTTTGATCCCAGGACGCAGGAGGCTAAGACAAGAAAATCACTGCTGAGTTCACAGCCAGTCTGAACCACATAGCAAGACCCTGTCTCAAAAACTAAACCAAACCAAAACAAAACCTTAAAACCTAGTGCACTTGAGAATAAAGAAGAGAATGGTTTCCCACAAGTTAGTTACTTAAGGATCAATTTTCCAAACAGTATCTTTCCTGGCTGTTGTATCAGTCAGGGTTCATTAGAGAAACAGATACAACACAAGACACACAACTGTATAAGAAGTTACAACATCAGCTTACAATCAATGGTCAGCCACAAAGTTGAATAAGGGAGCGAGCAGATCGTGTCTGCAAGCTAGAGCTCAAGGGTCCAGCCTAAGGGTGGAGCTTACTGCCATGTCCAGTGCAAGTCCATCAGGAGGCTGATGGGTCCATGATGGACGCCCAAGAGTCCCAAGCAGAAGCTGAACAGTCTGTGCTAGAAACCAGAACACAGCCCTGAAGGTGGGAGCTGGCACTCAGTTCCTCCTCATTTGCCTTTATTGTTTACAGGCTGCCCCCCTGAGGTGGGCGTAGCACTCACATCTGCCTGCCCTCCTCTTTCAAAGGATTAGGATGTTACAAACTGGGACCCTGGCTCCCTGCTGAATCACTTAAAGTTCCAACCTTTTCAAATTGACACAATGACCAGTATCCTAGAAGGGTAACTAATTGTGCTCCATACCCTAGGATGTAGGGCTGCTGAGTTTCTCAGTTAAACTTCTGGACTTCTCAAGTTGACACAAGGTATCAACCGTAACACCTGTACAACCAATACCAAGACTGATTGTAGACTGAACAGCAGGGGAGAATTTTATGCTTAGCTAAGAATAGGAGAAGAGGGGGATAAACTTCCCAAGCTGCTTCTTAACCTGCAGGAGTTGGGAGGTCAAGAGCAGAGGGGAGAAATATCCATGGATTTTAGGGGTGAGTGCAGATTTTCCTGCAATCTGGGAGTCACTTTCTCCTGTCAGGGTCCCTGGAGGCCGTGTGTTCAGCATGCAGCTGGAATGCTGACACAGGGAAGCTATGGGCCCCACCCCGCCAGCCATCTCAGATGAGGTTCAGTGGCTGGATGTCCTGTTCTCCATGGGAGAGCGGGATGGAAATGCAGCCAGGTGGAGGACATAGTACTAAGGGGCTGGGGGGGTAGCTCAGTGTGAAAGCCCTGGGTTCAATCCCCAGTACTGCCAAAAAAGTTAAAAAGATTGGGGGAAACCTATAGTGTCTATCAGTAGGGGCTTAAAAATGGTTAATATTTCTCATTGCAATCTGTCGAGGCCAGCTGCAAATGGCATTGGTTCAGGACTCCATTGCCAGAAGCAGTGATTTTCTGTTTGTTTGTTTGCTTCTTTCTTTTTTCTTTCTCTTTCTTTCTTTCTTTCTTTCTTTCTTTCTTTCTTTCTTTCTTTCTTTCTTTTTTGAGACAGTCTCATTATGAAGTTGAGGCTAGCCCAGGCTGACCTTAAACCCATGACAACCCTCCTGCCTCAGCCTCCTGAGTGCTAGGATTACAGGCATACTCCACCACATCCAGCTACTCTGATACTCTGTGACTTTCATGGCATTTCCTTCATGGTTGCAGGATGGTGCACTTCAGGTAGCCAACACATCTAGCAGGGTGGGGAAAGGAATGATATCTGCTCCTTTTTGAGGAATGCATGAGCTTTTCCAGAAGCTTCCTGGCAAACTTCCATTCTTGTCTCCTTGGCCAGAGCCATGTAATAGGGCACATCTGTCTGCCAGACAGGATGAGAAAGCCAGGAGTAAAGGATCCTCACCTCCATGGTAGTGAGAATGAAAGGGTTAGAAATGCTGGATTAGTCAGCCTGGACTTCTGCCATGACTACTACTGAAGAAAATGAGAGGGACTCATGTGGACCATGACGGACCACCTAAGATTTTGTTTTGTTTCCTTTCACACTGGGGATTAAACCCAGGACTTTTGCACTGAGCTCTCACCCCTGCCATATTCATTTATCTGTTTATTTATTGGGAGGGTTGGGACAGGGTCTTGCTACGTAGTTCCAGTGGGCCTTGAACTCCCAGGGATCTTCCTGCCTCAGCCTCCTGAGTGTGGGGCTTACAGGGGTGTGCCACCATGCCCTGCTGACTATTGGGGTTCAAGAGAGACAAAGTGATCTGCTGGAGATCACACAACTGGAAAATGCCGAGGCTGAGAGACAAGCACTGATCTACACATCCAGGCTGTGGGGTGAAGTACGTCCCCCAAGTTATGTATGTTGATGTCTTAGTCCCCCAGTGCGAGTGTATTTGGAGACAGCATGTGAGGGGGTGATCTGGGTGTCGTTGAAGAAGCCTGTGATGCCAGCACTTGGGAAGGCAAGGCATGAGTTCAAGGCCAGCCCAGACTATATAATGAGATCCTGTCTCCAAAAAACAAAACAGAACAAAAAAAGGGTAACCAAGGTCATGATCACAGGTCCCAATCTGTCAGGTCCCAATTTGTCAGGGGTGGTGAGACACACCAGAGCTGTCACTCTCACCCTGCGAGGATGAATCCAGCGGGGCTGGCCTTGAGCTGCCACTAGAGAAAGAGTGCCAGCTTGCAGCCACCAAGGAAACACTGAGATCCCCACAGTTCTCCCTAGCATCGGAATGAACCAGCCCCCTGACCCAGGACATCTTAGCCTTCTGAACCCTAGGAAAATAGACTTCTCATAGTGAGTTGTTGAAGTCATCTGGTCTGCAGTATCTGTCACCATAGCCTTCACAGATGAGACAGATTCTAAAATCTGAGCCATCCAGCACCTGAAGGTGGGCTTCCTCCACAGCCCAGGCAGCAGCCAGTGCCTGCCTGGACTCTTCCCTTCCACTCATGTTCCCTCGACCCACTGTCCTTCCTAAAGTAGGCAAAGCAGTGTTCCTCCCTGCATCGGTGCAGGGCTGATCAGAAACCATACTCTCATCTGAACAACGAAAATTTAAAGATTACAATGGGAAGCCTGGCTGGTGGTGCATGCCTGTAAACCCAGCACTCGGGAGGCTGAGGCAGGAGGATTGTTGTGAGTTTGAGACCAGCCTGGGCTACAAAGTGAGCTCAAAGCAAGCCTGAACTGCATAGTGAAACCCTATCTCAAAAAGAAAAAAAAAAAAAAAAAAAGATTACCATGAGATTGCAGTAATGAGAGGCTGGGCAGTGAGAAGTAAGGAAGACAACAAAGAATAAAAGAAACTGAGCGTGGTGGCCTACACCTGAAATCCCAGCAATCGGGAAGCTGAGACAGGAGGTTGGCACAAATTCAAGACAAGCCTGGACTACATAGTGGGCTCCAGACCTGTCCATCACTTGGTTTCCCCTCCTAACCAAGTTGCAGCCTCTTATTTCTGCCCCGACTCCCACCCCACCCAGGCGTTTTGACTTCCTACTTTTTGCATATATGGGTTTCTCTCTGCCTCTCCCTTTCTTGTTTGTGGAGACTGTAACCCCTCCTCCACCTCCTTTAAGAGTTCTCCCTCACCCAGCAGGTCTGTCCCAGCACTCTGGGAGGTTGAGGCAGGAGGAAGGATCCTAAATTCTGGCCCAGCCTACACCATTCAAGCGACACAGACAGACTACCTCCCAAAATAAAAAGTAAAACAAAGGGCTGGGAATGTAGCTCAGTGTGAAGGCCCTGGGTTCAATCCCCAGTATCGCACCAAAAAAAAAAAAAAAAAAAAAGGAGTTGGGGGGGTGACTGTGTTTCTACTTGAGGTGAGAGACCCATTCTCCGTAGTCAGGACACAGCGTGTTTATTTTTTATTTAGGAGCTCCCTATGTAGTAGCCCAGGCTGGTTTCGAATTCGTGCTGATGGTCCTGCCTCGGCCTCGGAGGGCTGGGATCACAGGCTTGCGGCCCCGCGCCTGGCTAGGGCGGGCCCTGTGGACCCCACATGGTGATCTCCGCTCCCTCTGGGTCCTGCTAGGGTAAATCTTGCCACTGCGGCCCGTCGTGCGCCGCCTTTCTGTCTGAATGGACACTGCCCAGTGTGGGCGGTGCCTCAGCAGAGCCCCACAATCGGGGCGTGGTCTCCAGTAGACACGCCCGTGAAAGGGCGTGATCACGCGAGACCGTGTTCGGATAGGCGGGACTTAACTTTTGATCCGGCCCCCTAGGGGCGTGGTCTCCCCCGCGCGCCTGTTCCCGGAAATGTCGCCGAGTGTCGCCTAGCCCCGCCCTCCTGCCCGGGAGAGGCGTTGCCATTGCTGCCGCTGCCTCTGTCGCTTTGGTCATGCCGGTAAGTGGTCCGGCGTCCGGATGGGGTGGGGTGGCGCACGCCGCGATCCTGGCCTGTACTGCCGATTGATCTGATACTGACCGCGAGAGTACGATTGTTCCTCTGTTCACGCCTCGCATCCGCGCTCCGGCCTCTGCGACCCTCCAGAAAGACGGAGCCGAAAGGCTCCACTCGAAAGTGGGCTGCAGATGCGAGGTGCAAGGCCTCCACGAGTGCACGCCCCGGCCGCCCCTGAATGTACTGTGTGGGAAATAGACACGTCTGTCCCCCCCCAGCGGCCGGAGAGCTGGAACAGGGACGCCTGGCCCGGGCCTTCCACGTGGACGTCCCTGCCTGGCCAGCAGGATTGGGGGGGGGGCGCGAGTGGAGCCACAGGTGCGTGGACCTGACTGCTGCTTCTGGGGTCCGTGTTTTTCCTCACTTCCCCTGCCACCCCGGCCTTCTTCCAGCCCCGCGCCGCGGCAGGGTTTCGAGGCTGTACTTTGCACTTTTCCATCTGGACACTTTTATCCTGAAGCCCTGAGACCCGGGGCGCTTCAGGGACCAGGCCATGGTGGCGGGTGAAGGAGATGAGAGTTTGGAGAGGCATGAGTAAGCAGGCAGGACTTAGCTTGTTTTGCCACTATCTAATCCAGCCACATTCGTGGGTGCCACACTCAGTCTCGTGTTTCCCAGATAAGAGATTGAGGCCTTAGATAGAGTTTAAAAAGAAGAAAAGCACAGGAATGTATTAGGAATAATCATCTGGAACTGGATAGGATAGGATAAGCCCCTTACTTCCTCTCCCAGCCTGGTGACCAGACAAAACCAGTCCTACTGGCTTGAGAGAAGAGAACCCTCTGATCCCACTGGGGGTGCTGGCGTGGGTCAGAGTGGTTAGCAGTCTCCTCCCAGGTGCTTGCTTGGTGTGAGCCCTGAGCCAGGTGGGTACCCAGAGGTACCTGCTCATGCACAGTGGCCTAGCAGCCTGTCTTTTGGGAGCTGACAGGTGAGCCTAAGGCTCCCTAGACAGAGCTTGAAACTCATCTTGCGTCGTGTCCTTTGGGTATTGCCAGGTGCCTTGAGACAAATCCTTGGGTAACACAAAATGTAGACCAAGAAGCCGATGGAATTGTCTCTCCCAGTTGATCAAGTCCACCCTTGGCAGGGGGAGAGGCAATCACGACTCAGTGACTCCTGTTGTGGAGGCCACCGCATTGTTGTTGGGGATAGCAGTGAGGGAGAGGCCAGCGTGAGGGTCCCTGTATTCTGTGTCCCTCACTTCTGGGCTTCCGGGCAGTGATCAGGACCAGGAGGGAACTTGGCATCAAATCAAAGCTGCACAGTGGAAGGGAAGTGGGTGTCAGTCTAATGACTGTGTGGAAGCAGGATGGGGGAGAGCAAGCTACCTGGGAAGGGTCCCAGAGAAGCATCCCCGAGCAGCAAGGGCTGGGAGTCCCAGATCCTCTGGAAACCTGTCTCCTCTGGGCCAGCTGCGTGAGCACAAGCACACTGTTGCCTTCCTTCCCTCTCCTTTGACTTCCTGATGTATATCATAGGGATAAAACCTGGCCTCACAGGACCACTGTTAGGCCGGTGCTATGCACTGCAGCCACTCACACAGCCAGGCCCCAGGAAATGGAATCTCCGCGGTAGACCTAGGACAAATGGGACATAACTGTAGGTAAACATTTGTTTTTTTTGGAATTATAAGTTTTTCTTCAATTTTATTTTTTGCTTTTTTTGAGGCAGGGTTTCACTATATGTTTCAGGCCGGCCTTGAATTCACTTTGTAGCCCAGGCTGGCTGCAAATTCATAGCAATCCTCCTGCCTCAGCCTCCTGAGTGCTGGGATTACAGGCATGTGCCACCATTCCTGTCTGATAGACAACTTTCAACTCTCTTTTTCTTTTTTTTCCTTGTACTAGGGACTGAACCTAGAGTCTTTATTTTTTTAATTATTATTATTATTTTTTTGTGAGACAGACTCTGTGTATATGGTTCAGGCTGTCCTTGAACTCATTGTGTAGCCCAGGCTGGCCTCAGACTTGCAATGATACTCCTGCCTCTGCCTCCCAAGTGCTGGAATTTCAGGCATGTGTCACCATACCTGGCTAAACCCAGGGTTTTGAGCATGCTAAGAAATGGCTGTACCACAGTGCTACATCTGCAGCCTTTTTTAAAAAAAACCACTTATTTTTAAGGGCTGGAGATGTCACTCAATGAGAGTGCTTGCTAGCATGTGTGAAGCCCTGTTCAAGGCCACCTTGGGCTACATAGCAAGTTCAAGGCTATCCTGGACTGCATAGCGAGATCCTGTCTTAAAAAGGGGGGTTAATAAGAGAAATATTATCTGCTTTATGGAAGTTGTTATGATGATTAAACAACATACATATAAGCACTAAAATATTAGTAAATATTTCAGTCGGGCACCAGAGTTTGCAAAGATGGAGTCATTTCTTCCCTAGACTGGATCCCCTCCTTTCCAGTTCTGAGGTTCTAGGGAAAGAGTATCATGTTTCCTTTAAATCCCCTTTGAAGGCCTCCTTTTAAGAGTGACAAAGCAGGAGCCCCAGGCAGCTGGGACTGCCCAAGTCCAGTCTCAGGCAGTGGGACAGGTCTTGAGGGTCAGCGCTGCAGAATGGACTTCCGTCCTTAAGCAGGCTTCCTGCCCTTCTCCCCCCTCGAATTCAGTTTTGCAGCTAAGGTGGAGGAGGTGAACCCTGAATTGTCATGTTTGCTGCCAGAAGTCACCTCTGACCGTGGCAGCCTTTGTCCCTGGCAGAGTAGAGGAGACCTGGTCATCTCAGACCTCTGTGGATTTTTGGCCCTGGGCAGCAGCACAAAGAATCAGGATCGTGGTGGGGTGGGGTGGCGGGGGACTTGGCCCTTCCAGACCAACACAACTTTCCAGGACCGGGATGCCTGGGTCACTTCCTGACTTCAGCCCCCACTTCCTATGGAGGAGTGTGAACCCCTTTCCGCCTCAAATTAAATAAAACGAGCAGCTCCCTTTGCAGGCCCAAGAGACGCACGAGTTTAATGCTTACACTGCGCTTGCAAACCCTTCAAAGCCTGGGCTTGGTACACAGGTTCCAGCACCGCTGATTCCTCTACTGCTTGTTGCAGAATTGAAGCAACCTTCCCGAAAGGGCAGTGGCAGCCACCTCTGCCTTCACAAACTCCACAGCCTCTGTTTCAGCTGCCCACCTCTGGTGTTCGGTGGAGAAATAAAGCCACAAGCTTGTCTGCATTGCAGCAATATATGTATAGATAAATTTCTCAGCACTGGGGATCGAACCAAGGGCCTCCACACTGAGCTGCATTTCCAGCTCTTATTTTCGTTTTGAGATAGGGTCTCATCAAGTCACTGAGTTGTCCCGGCTGGGCTCAAACTGTCTTGGCTTCCCAGGATGCTGGGATTAGAGGCGGGCACCCCTGAGCAGGCCTGCCAGGCCTCTCTGTAAATCCAGGTCCCTGACCTGGATGTCACATTCAAGTCCAGACTCTGTTTCAGGAGCTCTGGGGCGGCACCTGACAGCCTGCATTCTGGGAACCACACATATTTCTGTGGTGTTGGGGATCAAACCCAGGGTCTTCTCAGTCAGCCACACTCCCGTTTTTTGAGGCACAGTAAAGGTAACTAAATTGTGCAGGCTGAGTTTGAGTTTGTTGATTGTTCAGGCTGGCTTTGAATTCGTGGAAATCCTCTTTCTGCGTGCTGGGATTACAGATACACCACCACAACTGTCTCCCCCACCTTTTTTCTTTTTATTTCTTGTGAACTATACCCCAGACCTCACGGGCCCTCCATTCTTTCAGAAGCACGAGTTCTCCGTGGACATGACCTGTGAGGGCTGTGCGGACGCCGTGGCCCGCGTCCTCAACAAGCTGGGAGGTGAGTGAGCTGGGGCGGCCCTCAAGTCGTGCACCCCCTTTCCCCCTAGTTAGGGCCACGCCCAGTGCAGGCTAGCGGGGTACCTGCCCTTGTGTCAGGTGCTCGGCTTACCTGTGCATATGTAATCCACCGTTGACCCCACAGGAGGACCGGGGCACAGTCATGATCATCTCCACCCCACCCTCATCCCCGCAAAACCCAAGTCCATTTCCTTTTTTTTTTTTCTTTTTTTTCCATTTCCTTTTTAAATTTTGAGACAGGGTCTTACAAAGTCATTATATGGCCTATGCTGGGCTCCAAATTGTGCTCCTTCTGCCTCAGCCTCCGGAGTCCTGGGATGACGGGTGCATCACACCCAGCAGACCGGCTTTGAGAAGGCTGCCCTGCGAGGTGATCTCCTAGCAGCCTTGAGCAGAGCTTTCCTGGTGGCGCGGAGCAGGGACTTGTGGAGGCTTTGGCCCTGCGGGAGGGCATGGACCTGGAGAGAGGCTGACGCTGTCTTGCCCCAACTGGCTTTTTTCCTCAGGCCTGGGAAGGGGACTTCAGCCCACATCCGCCTCTCTGTGCTGCGGCTCCTTCACAAGCCACATTGTGTCCTCTGGAGTGCAGGGGCTGGCCCCTGAGGACAGGTGCGCAGACATCCCCTTCCCCCTCGAGGGCTTGGGGACACCTGCCCTGGAGCTGGGAGTCCAGGGACAGTTTTGGTTTTTGTTTCAGCAGCACTGGGGGTTGAGCCCAGGGCCTTGGCACTGAGCTGTGTCCCAGCGCTCTATTTTTTGTGTGTTCGTTTGTTTATTTTTGGTACCGGGTATTGAACTTATTACCTCGTGCTTCCCAGGTTGGCACTTACACCACTGAGCTAAGTCCCTGGCCCTTTTATTTTTTATTTTTAAGTCGTGGTCTTGCCAAGTTGCCCGGGCTGGGCTCAAGTTTGTTTTCCTGCCTGGCCCTGATGGGAAAGTTTTGTCCATCCCTGGCCTCAAGGAAAGAGGGCAGGGTGACTGCAAGCAATGATTTAGCAGCCTGGACGCTCTGTTGCTGGAAGTGGGAGGGTCTCAGCCTCTGCTCCCCATACCCCGTTTCCTCTTCCTGCAGGAGTTGAGTTCAACATTGACCTGCCTAGCAAGAAGGTCAGCATTGACTCCGAGCACAGCGTGGACACCCTGCTGGCGACCCTGAACAAGACGGGCAAGACCGTGTCCTATGTGGGCCCCAAGTAGCCCCAGCACAGGCTGCAGTGCACAGCCAGGTGCGGCACCCACCTTTCCATGGTGACACGGCCAAGTATCTCTTAACCGAAAGGCAGGCCACCAGCGCTGTTTCCAATTTGGGGTTTTGTTCAGGGTTTAGGAAACTTGCGCAAGTTTCATTTAGCTGAGCATCCCAAGTAGGAAAATCCAAAATCAGAAGGTTTTGTGGTTGTTGCCAAGCTGGATACAAACTCATGATACTCCTGCCTTGCCCTCAGCCGGAATTACAGGCAAGCGGCAGAGGCAGGAGGATGCTGGCAGTCCACCCTGCGCAGGGTGGATGGGGCCTGGGAGAGCTGCAGAGCTGTCGGAGCAGAGGCTCATTCCTGCTTGAATTGGGCGTTTGGGACGAGAGTGCCAACACCGCCCTGGATACCTAGTCACCACACGCCTGAGTCGGGGGTGCCAGATTTCTTCTCCTGCTCCTGTCACCCCTGGACACAACCCAAGTGAGGCTGAGGCAGGACAGGCAGTGGCAGATCTGGGCTTGTAAGGCGGTATGCACATGGGGGACTGTTGGGGCAGACTTCTGGATTGGAAAGCCATACTTCCTACTAAGGATTGAATCCAGGGCCTTGCAAGTCCCAGGCAAGAATTCTGCCTCTGAGCTGCATCACCAGGCCTTGTTCTTCTGTTTAAAGAAAGGGTCTCACGGCTGGGCGTGGTGGTGCAGGCCTGGAATCCTAGCTATCTGGCTGGAGTAAAGCCTGGCCAACTAAGAATTGGAGCAGCTTAGGGGCACAGCACTTACCTGGCGTACTCAAGGTGCGCGTGTGTGCCCACACACACACACACACACACACACCCCAGTCACCAGACATTACCCGTTACTCCACACACTCAAATGCCATCCACCTGTGATGTGTTTTCATTTTGTTCTGTTTTTGGAGACAGAGCCTTGCTGTGTGGTTCAGGCTGGCCTTAAATTCACTATGCAACCTAGGGTGGCCTCAAACTTGCAAGGATCCTCCTTCCTCAGCCTCCTAAGTGCTGGAAGTAAAACATCTGTTTTAAGAGGTGCCCTGCTGATGGCTTTGGAGTCAGGTTTGGAAGCCGCAGAGACTCCAATAACTTCTCCAACTTATTGGTCATGAAGTCACCTTGGTGGGCTGGCTGTGGAGAGATTCTTGGCTCATGATTCTGTTACACCTGTGGGTCATAAACTGCAGCGGGAGGGGTTACAGTGGGCCCGCATGTGTGGCAGCCCTGGGAGCGCCCCTAGAGGCCCCTGCAGGGATTTGCTTAGCTAGCGAGATTGCGGGGCTCTTGATCACTGTGACTGCCTGCGATGCTGCCGTGTGCACAGCAGGTGGCGCGCGTGCGCCATGTAACCTTTCTTGGTCTCTGAGCAGGCTTTCGGACAGACTGGGACCAGACCTTCGATGGAGCCCCGCCCCTTCCTAGTGCCGCTGCAATAAAGTCCAGCTGCCCTTGGAGTTGTCCTTGCGTGGTCTGGCGTGACTTGCTTGTCTTGGGTCGGAGCTTCATCTTCGGAGTCAGGCGACCTGTGGAGTCTGTCTTTGTGCTATCATCGTTAGCAAGTGACTGCCCCCATTGGGACACTTTCTCGTTAAAAGCCAGAGTACTGGGCCAGATCAGTGACCTCCTTTCTTTCTAATACTTTCTCAGCCTCCATAGTTTGCCAACTGACTTGCGTGTAAAAGCTATCCAGTGTGACAGCAGTTGTGTGATGGGGAGAGGCTGGAGTGTTGCCGCTTCACTTCTCCGTGTCCACAGGCATAAAATAGGAGAGGAGCAGCTGCTGCAGATAGCCAAACTGATTCAGTCAGGTGACTATGCAATCCCAGCCCTCCGGAGGCTGAGGCAGGAGGATCACTGAGTGAGAGGCCAGCATAGGCTGCATAGTGAGTTCAAGGCCAGCCTGAGCTACAGTGAAACCCTCTTCAAAAACCAAAGCAAATTCAGATAACTTTTTTTTTTTGCATATTTGATGAATTAAATATCTATGAAAACAGTGATTAGGATCCTAGTCAGTCTAAGGATTAGTCCTTTACAAAGCTATGCTTTTGGGTGTGTGTCAAAGCAGCCTGAATATTTTAGTTCCAGTAGCTATTTTGTTTGGGGAGGAGCGTTTTGGGAGAGGCCTAGCCTCAGGCCCCTCAAACTCCAGGCTCTTGCAGTTGTGCATCCCCACCGTCCATCAGCTTCCACCTTATGTACTCAGCGAATTACTGAAATTCTGAAAGAGGTTCTAGCTTTGTGGGTTACACCATGTTAGAAACTGAAGCGAGAATTGTTTAAAGATCTGACATCCAAGAACAGAGCCTTGTGCCATTAGGACTAGAGAAGGACAGATCCATTGGGTTCTCTACATGCCAGGCAGGTGAGTTTCCCAGGCAGTTCCTGGGAGGGAGCCCCCTGGAGGATTGCTTTTACCTGGTGCATCTGGGGCACAGCTGCCATTCACCTCCTGGGCACGCCGCCCTCTGTGGGGTGAGGGCCAGCTTTGCGCCAGTGAGGCCTGGGAACCTCAGGGCAGTTAGCTGTGCTTAGCCGCTGGACTGCATAGCCCAGGCTACCTGGCCCTCCAGGGATTCAGCCCCGTGACCTCTGTACCCACCCAGCTGGAGTCCATCACAGGGCTTGGTCTGCTGTTCCAGGCCCGCAGGGGTGGGGCTGCAGCCTGGGACCCCACCTCCTCTATCCTGCAGCCAGCTGCTCCTGGGACTTCCCAGGGCCCCCTCTGCCCAGGTGGCCTTGCAAAAGGACCCGTCTCCCCAGGTTCACCCACAAAGCCCTCTCCCTCCCCAACCCCTCCCCACCACCAGGAAGCCCTCCACAACCAGGCTGCACTTTGCCCAACCAGGACCAAGAGGACCCATTCCATTTCTGCTCTGCAAACCCAAAGGGAGCAGGCACCAGTTTGGGTGTGGATCCGGGATCGGGGTGGGCTGTGGGTGCACTCCTCTCCTGTGTCAGCCCAAAGGTGTTCCCTGAAGCTGCTGGGGATCCTGGGTTCCTGTGCTGGTGGGTCCTCCACCCACACCCTGGGCTGAAGATTGGACTCATGGCCTCGTTTTTTGTTTTTTTGTTTTTTTTTTTAACTTTTTATCGGTACCAGGGCTTATGCCTCTGAGCTAAATCCCCAGCCCCCATGGCCTTGTTCTTGAGCTACTTCCCCATTTATTTATTTGGGAGTTTTTGAGCCAGGGTTTTACAATGTAGTTTGGGCTGGCCTCAAACTTAGCATGTCCGTCATTGAACTTGTGGCAATCTTTCTGGCTCAGCCTCCCCAGTGCTGAGATTTCAGGTATGGGCCACCACTCCAGGCTTTGTTTTTATTTTGAGACCTACCTTGCTATATCATTACATTGCCCGGGCTTGCCTCAAATTTGGGATTGTCCTGCCTCAGTCTCCCAAGTGCTGGGATTATAGGCGCACCCCACCATACCAGTTTTGGTGGTTTTATTTTGTTTTGGTACCAGGAATCAAACTCAGGACCTTGCACTTGCCAAACTGGTGCTTGTGCTGCTGAGCTATATCCCTGGCCCTGTTGTGGTTTTTTTAAGCAGCATTTTTGAGGTATAATTTCATTCAAAGCACTACATTGTGTTTACAGTGTATAATATTTAAGATCTAAAGACTAGATGCACACATTTGTGCAACCAGCACCGCAATCAAGATGCAATAATGAGCTGTTGATCACCTGCAAATGTTCTCTCTGCCAAACCACAGCTGTGCGTGCCTGAAACCCAGCTGTGCAAGAGGCCAAGACACAAGGGTCGTAAGTTTGAGACCAGCCTGGGGAACTCAGTAAAACCTTGTCTTAAAAAATTAGATAAGCTAGGACCAGGAATATAGCTCAGCCGCATAAGTGCCTGCCTGGCAAGTGAAAGGTCCTAAGTTCAATTTCCAGTACCAAAGGAAAAATCAGAGAGACTGGATGGTAGCTCAGTGACAGTGCTTGCCTCGAGTGCCTGTGGCCCTGGATTGGATTTGGCCCCTAGTACAGAAGGATGGGGAGAAAAAGGTTTCCTAAGCTCCCTGGCAGTATTTCCCTCTTCTCTCCAACCCAAAAAGCCGCTTCCCACAGCCGCAGCCTTAGTTTGCCCTCACATTTGTCTAGCTTTATTTTCCCCCTGTTTCTTTCTTGCCATGCTGGAGGTGGAACCCAGGGCCTGGGGCATGCTGGAGTGCTCAACTGCTGAGCCACACCCCCGGCTTTGCGGTTCATCCATGTTGTAGACACCAGTAGGTCATTTATTTCCCCCGAGCCCTAAGTATTTCACGGTATCACTCTACCACCAGGTGCTGGTCACTTTTTACTGGTTGAACATTTGAGTTTTCCTAGGTTTTGTTTTGTTTTGTTTGATTGGTTGGTCTGGTTTGGTTTGGTTTTTGAGACAGGATCTCTCTGTAGTTCAGGCTGGTCTCAAATTGGAGGAGATCCTCCTGCCTCAGCCTCCCGAGTGCAGAAATTATAGGCGTGCACCGCCTTGCCTGGCTGATCCCAGGTTTTAAGCTGCTCCCTTGGGCACAGGGAGAGTCTCAGTAGGCTGCAGTCTGTCAAGCCGACACACTCAAACCCAAACCAAAGCTGTTTCAGTGTTGAATTCTGAGCCCCCTCAGACTGGACTCAGTTCCTCCCCCCAGCCTGGTAACTGTCACTGGGGAAGAGCTGCTGCTTCTTTGGCAAAACTCAGTTTCCTCATCCGCGACTCGGGGATCTTGATCCTATTCCCTGTGAAGCTTGTGAGACCTACGAGGTCAGCGTGTGTGTGTGTGTGTGTGTGTGTGTGTGTGTGTGTGTGTGTGTGACCCTCACTCGCAGGGACGATGCTGCAAAGCTGTTTGAGCAGAGACTCCACAGTTGCACCG